TTGTTTAACCAGAATGTTTCAAAGACTAAGTACCTGCAAGAAACTGGAAAGTTTCCGATTCCTCTGCGGTATTTGATAAATCATTGTAAGTAAGTGCTTTCTTTTCTTTTCCATTGCCGTGTCTGTAGGAATAGGTGGCTAGATATTGAACAAAGAGTTCCTAAAACAAAAGGAAACAGTAAAATGAAAGGTGTGCTTTGAAAACTTATCACAGAACTTAATTTTGTTAGTTACATTAAGTTTTGATGATTGCAGAGTATCTGAGTTTCTCCAACTACAGGAAATCACTGGGAAAAGGAGAAATGCGAGGTCAGAAAGAAACCAGGGCCGTAGCCAAGGTAATGGGGAAGCAGGCATTTCCCTAAAGTTTATTTTAGGTTTTTAACTTCTGAAACTTCTTTAAAAGTAATTAAACAATGAATCATAAATGGTTAGTGACCAATCAGTACAGTAAACAAACAAAAAAAAAGGAACACGAGACCATTCAAAAATTCTGCTTGACTCAGAATTACTTCGTGTTTCTAAGGTGGTTCGCCTACAAATACAAGTCAACAACCGGAAGCCGAAAACGGACGTTTCCCATTTTGCCCGAACACCTTTCCCTAAAGCAACCACCTGGACTGCGTGAACTGCTCTCCTTCTCGGTGTGTTTCCTTGTAACTCCATCTAGTTCGGTTAGTAGGGCATTCGAGAAGTGCATACACCTTAGTTCCGCGATCCAGAATGAAACTGGACCAGAAAACACCAATATCCCAACTAACGGGCCATTCTTTCCCGGACTCGGAGGAAGCACGGCTCTGGCATAAAGCAGGCAAGAAACCCGAGGCTGCCCACGCCCCTGGCGCCGGCCTGCCACTGCAGGGACACTGTGTGCTCGGGCGAGGAGGAGCCACGACGCAACCCAAGGGAACAGTGGCAGCAATGAAGGCTGCAGCTGGACACCGCCCAGCGGGGCACCGGAAGGGCCTGGCCCACCGCCCTCCAGATCAAAAGGCACAAAACGATCTTTTTGCACCTAAGAGGGGAATGGGACAAAACGCTGTCAAACTCAGGCCCCTGCGTTCCTGGAACTCCGGCTCGCGGNTTCCCTGGGAATGGGAAGGGATGAACTTCAAGGGGACACGTGAATCCTTGGGGTGATGGAACTAGTCTATCAATTGCTTACCAACCAACAGATTGAACATGAAGGATGATTTTACTTGATGTAAATACTTGTTTTAAAGAGCAATTAAAAAGACAAGAGCCAAAAATTTATCCTATATGAAGAAATACAGTCCTGTGGTTTTCTCCTGTGGATAGTAACAACAATTCCTCTGGGTATAAAGAAAGGTGCAGTAAAATGAGATCTTCAATAGACAAAATATTCTAAAATGTTTTTCTAAGAAAAAATATGCTTATGCAGAGGTAATATTTCTTTTTGTATTCATAATTTGACTTCAAATTTTTCTCTGGGAATAAAAGTGCTAGAGATGCTTATTTTTAAATTTCACATGTCTCAGGTAATAAGAAGGCACTAGAAAAACAGGGTTCTAAAGTTAACTCCAAAGAGCATCTTACTGAAAAATATGTACAGCTTTTAATAAAATTTGTCTTACAATTTAAAAAATGCAGTATTCAAATATTCAAATTTTCTTGAAATACAAAAATTCAAATGTAACATCCAACATATGACAATGTAGCAAAAGGTTAACAAACAGTAACAAACTACATATTTAGCTAAAACTGAATCTAGTTGTTTCGAAGAAAGAACTCACTCGTTTCAAAATATACACATAAGAATTTACATAACTAATATTTAGCAGCTCAAAATCTGTCTGAAAATTAAAATAGTAAGCAAAACTGTCCTTGCCTCTACGGCTTATAGCTGCAGATGGATTGGCAGCGCCTGACGTACAGACAGCTCTGTCTTGGTGCCCGCCCCCCAGAGCCTGGGCCTGCCCAGGAGAGGCTGCGGCCGGTTACCTTCCTTCCGGCTGTTGCTGGTGGAGGGGCAGTAGATGGTCTGTCTCAGCCAGGAGAGAATACAATGTACGTGAAGCCTCTGGAAAGCGAAGAGACTCAAGTCCCACAGTGCTGTGTGTCCTTCAGAGCCAGTGCTGGTGCTGAGCCAGGAGGGTCTTCTCCAGCCTGACGTTTAAAGCACTTCGGTTTTGGGTTAGGATTCCGCGTCGACGTCATCACTTTCATCACTGTCGTCGTCATCCTCCTCGTCTTCCCGCCTCTCCTTAAGCATTTTCAGATATTTACTAGCTAGTATCTTCTTTGGTAAGATATCTTAAAAACATAAAGCTAACATTAGCAACTGGTTATGGTAGACCATGGGTACGGCAACACAAATTTCAAAATGTCCTAGTTCTTGCTTTGACCTCTAGAAGAGGTTCCAAAACAAGAAAAGCTTCAGACTCTTCTGAGTGGTCTCCTGGCTAACGCTCCAGACCCGTTC